TTACTGGGGTCATTTGACCCCAGTGCTCTTCCTGCCATGGCAGGGGGTCGGACTAGATGATCTGCTCAGGTCCCTTCTGACCCTAGAAACTATGAAACTATGAAGTTCAGTAAGGCGTTTCCCCTAGTGGGACTGTACACCTCCTGTGTTAGGTGAAGGTCCTGTATACAGGTTAAAAACCCATGTGAATGATTAGATCTAGCTGATTGCTGCTTCTAGCAGATGTCAGGGTAGTTTAGGTCATCCATTGCAACCATGTCCCTTGAGTGTACAGCCTCTGAGAGCTGCCTTGAGAATTCCAGGTCTAGCTCATCCTCCTGGTGTGGCGGTCTATAATAGACCCCCACTACCAAGTCCCTTTCACCCCAACCCCCTTGTGTTCTGACCCACAGCACCTCAATTTAACCCTCTTCTGATCCCATCTTGATTATGGAAGACGTGAACTGCTCCTTAACATAGAGAACAACGCCCCTCTCTCCATCTTATCTGCACAGCCTGTAGCCCTCAATGCCTACTGCCCAATTGTGGATAGGGTCCCACCAGGTTTCAGTTAATCCATCCAGATCGAAGTCTTTGTTTGCAAGCAGGAGTGTGAGTTCCTCCTGCTTATTCCCCATGCTCCTAGCATTAGTATAGAGAAACTTAACCCCCCCAATAGGTACCCTTGGTTACTCCCCTGTCCTAATGTGTTAGGTTAAGAGCTCACAGGACTAGATGGGCAGGTGTGCCAGAGCAGCATTTGGAATAGAAATCTATTTCCTCTCATGTGACTAAATAGCAATTTTCTAGCTGTGTGAATGGTGTTTTTGACACTCATGCAGAGATTCTGTTCCCCCCTACCCTGTGTGTAAAGCTTTCTGAGCAAGTATGGCTACATACACGTCTATTCTAGATGCATAAGTGCATGTAAGTCATGGAAATGTAGCTTGCTACAACCCAATGACTAACAACTGGAGGGGAAAGGAAGACTATTGCATTCTAGTCCTAGTAGCTGGGTGGGCTCTCACCTAGTAAGTGGGAGATTTGGGTTCTATGCACCCTTTACCCAGACAGAGTTTGAACCTTTACCCCTTTGACTTCCCAACAAAGTGCTCTAACCAGCAAACTGATTAAGCCCCATCCAGTGGCCCCTCCATCTCAGCTCCATTTTCCAGACAAGCCACTGCCCATTTCATTTAAGTCTTCAGACAAAATGGATGGGGTGTGCTGGGCACACAGCCTTGAGGTATATGTTCACTTTTCCAAAAGAACAACCTTAGCACTTCAAAATGCCTTGGACATATTCTTCACAAAAGTAGTACAGAAAAAGCAAGGCACCTTTAGAAGCAAATGTAATCATGATATCTGCATCTCCACTGTGTTTTCTCACAAAATTTAGTGGTGTGACATCACTCCAAACCTTTAGTGACATTTCAACTACTTGTTCCACCTCCTCACGCTTCAGTTTGTTGGTGTAATTCCGTATCCTTCATACAAAAAAGGTTCAGAAAGCACAAATATTAATATGCAGTTATTTAAGATTATGAGTTATGTGATCAAAGGGCTGTATTCTCTGGTCTACCAGGTTCACTGAGTATCATGTAAATAATGCTAAGTTGACCTAAAAAAGCTGGACATTTATTTGGGACAATTCCTTCTATGTAAAGGCAATGTTTATGTGCGTAAAACCTACAGAGGCAATATAAATCTCTCTCACACTAGTGCAGATCCTGGAGCACTGTTATAATCTGCTGCTAGGCTTTAAGTTATCCATAGACAGCTGTAGATTTTATTTTTATGTGAACTCAATGTGTGGTTCAACAAAGTCTCACTACAACCCACATTTTCAGTGACTAAGATATAGATCATTGGTGCAAGGTCCATCCATACCAGAGAAAAAGTCTACATTCTTCTCACTAGGCCTTGATAATGAATCTTCTACCTCAGGGGTGGGAAATTATTTTGGGCGGAGGGCCACTTACCCAGTTTTGGCAGGCTGTCAAGGGCTGCATGGGTAGCCGTACACCTTGACAGGTGCCCCACGCCTTGACAGGTGCCCCAACCCCTGGTCACCATCTTGGGACCAATGTCCCAATGTCTTGGGACCAATGTCCCAGGGCCAGCACTGGTGGGGCCCAAAGTGGGGTGCAGGCTGGCAGGGGTCCATGGACCTAGGCTGGGCTGCACCAGCAGGGAGAGGGGGGAGCTGGCTCAGCTCCATAGAGCCTCTGCCAGCTGGGACCCTGTGCTCCTGCCACCCTGCTTTGGGCCCTGCCAGCACTGACCCCGGGGCACCAGTGCGGGCCCTGTGCTCCCACTGGGGCTCCCTGCCCACTCGCACCCAGTGCCCCCCAGCCCTGCGGTACAGGTGGGGGGCAGTGCACAGCCCCAACCCCCTGCTTGCCAGCAGGGAAGAAGTTGGTGCTGAGCACAGGGAAAAGCAGCCCCTGGCCCACCCCATGGCTTGTGCTCCCTGCTGCAGGTGCTCGCAGCCCACATGGGGCTGTCTGGAGCAGGCACAGGCAGTCCCAGGCAGGCTATGAGCAGCTGCAGCACAGGGCACCAGCTACATGTTGAGTGAGGGGCTGCTCTTTGCCACGCTCAGCACCAGCTTGTAACTTGGCCCCACTGCTAGCTTGGCAGTGGGGCCAGGTTACAAGGTGGTGCTGAGAGTGGTGGGGGGAAAAGCAGCCCCTCGCCCACCCCATGCCCAGTGCCTCATGCTACAGCCACTTGCAGCCCACCTTGGGCTGCCTGTGCCTGCTCTGGACAGCCCTGTGTGGGCTGCGAGTACCTGCAGCAAGGAGTGCGCCAGCCATGGGGCTGCTCATGGGGCCAGGAAGGGGCTGCTTTTCTCCACACAGGGAAGGAGCCCAGGGAAAAGCTGAGCATAGGGGGAAAAGCAGCCCCTCCCCCAACCCATGGCCAGCGGTCCCTGCTGCAGCCATTCGCAGCCTGCACAGGGCTGTCCAGAGCAGGTGCAGGCAGCACCACCTGGGCTGCGAGCAGCTGCAGCACGGGGTTCCAGCCATGGGGCGGGGAAGGGGCTGCTTCCCCACTCCATGCTCCTTCCCTGCCCAGGGTCCCCCCCCTTCTCACCCCCCACTTACCTGCGGTTGCAGCACAGAGCAACCACATGTTCCCAGGCCAGAAGCCCCGGCTGGGGCTTCCAGCTGGGGGGGCAGGGCCAGGTGGGCCCCACTGCTGTTGGAGCCCACCAGGCTTCCCCTGGGTTTTCATTTTTGACAGGAACCAAAGGTGGAGAAATATTAATTTTTTAGGGGCCCTGTGGGCCAGAAATATTAATTTTTTAGGGGCTCCACAAGCTGGATAGAAGGGGCCTTGTGGGCCAGATCCAGCCTGTGGACTGTATTTTGCCCACCCCTGTTCTACCTGGATGTCCAAGAGCTAATATTACTGTAATAATGGGTCCTTGTTTACGAGTTCTATCTGGCATCACTTCATAACATACCTTGCTATGTCTAATTTCCAACAAACTCAACCATAACATTTTTTGCCCAGCACATCTTTCAAACTCTTTCTGGTGCATTAATGGCATTGGAACAATGAACAGATAGTCTTCATAGTTCTTGAAGTCCTATAAGCCACACTTAGCACCTCTGAAAATCAAACTATGAGTTTACATATCTATATATTAAATCACTTTAGTCACTCAGTTCTGAAAAGGTGGGACTGAGCTTCTGTTTGTCTAGTCTACTGAATCTGTCAAATGTGAGCATAAAATCTATCATGAATGTGTATGGTGAACATTTATTAGCCATATAATCAGTAGTTAGTTAATATTGTTTAGAGCATGGGTGTCAAAGATCTGGGCTGTGGGCTGGATCTGGCATATAAAGCGCTATTGTCTAGCCTGTGTGCTGTAAGCAGTATATGCTGGCCCCAGCCCTGCTCATTGTGTATGACGCATGGAACCCATCTGACACGGGCTGCACACAGTGCTTAGGGCCAGTCTGGGGCATACACTACATGTGGTGCCTACGTGCTAGATCTGGGACTGGTCTGGAATGAGCTCACGGACTGACCCTGCGTGCTGCAGCTAGCCTACAAGGCCAGTCCAGCGTGGGGGCCATATGCAGCATGCCTCCCAGACTGCCCCCTGTACTGCATGCCATGTGAGGCTTGGGACAAGCATGTGATGCATGTGGTGGGCTGGGGCTGGGGCCAGGGCTAGGGTTGAGGCTGGCATGTGCTGCATGCAGCACCTGGTGTAGTTTTGGGTGCGTGCTGCCTACAGCACCTATGCCATACTGGCCCTGTATGCTGGACCTGGGGCTCCTAGACCAGCTCTGTGTACCAGAGCTAGTGCGCAAGGCTAGTCTGGTGCAGGCGCTACATGCAGCACACACTCCAGACTGGTTTATGCTCTGTGTGTAGCATATATCCTGGTCCTGCACCATGTGCCATGTACACGGCTGGAGCTGCATGTGTGCTGCATGTGCTACATGGGGCTGGAGCCAGCATGTATGTTACAAGTAGCCTGTGGGGCCTAAACTGTACTAGCCCTATACGGCACTATACCGTGCCTACACTGTCCCAGCCCTATGGGCTGGCTTCAGAATGTGGGGCCTGTTTGACACCCCTGGAATAGAGCTTTGAAAAATGTAAAGTGGTACAGTAGGCATTTCTAAAGTACTTACAGGGGACCACAAATAAAGTAATGTCAGGAGCAGCACGACACTCACCATGGGTTCCTTACCTCTGGGTTTTTTTTCTTTGGCAAAGGGGAACAATTTAGGTACTTCATAGAACAGACCAGCTATAGAATATGTTACCATTGTTATAGATAAGCTATGGATTTTTAAAATTATTTAGTTCTTTAATATGTTATGGGAGTATAGCATAACTCACCTACACACTGTTTGTTAAAATGGAAACAAGAGTCCGGTCATAAGCACTTACCGGTATGTTACTGTATTTCCTTTCCATTTGGGCTTCTTTATATAGAACTCATGTTTCTTCACATCAGAGGCCCCACATCGAGATTTTTTCATCATTGCCACTGTTTGAGTGTCCAGTTTGCCAGTTGCATAGAGACCAAAGAACCCTTGCATCTCTTTAATCTTGCTACTGACAGCTCTAATATACCTTTTTGCTGTCCTTGAAGAGACTGGATCCATGCTATAAAACTGCTGTAGATATTTCTGTATGAAAGGGGTAGGTTCAGAATATGTTCAAAACATGGCCCACACTTCAGTGAAATATTATTTTTAAGTACTTTATTCTTAAGCCTTCTTTCAGGTATTGAGATAAATTTAAAATAGTGTTTAAGCACTTCACAAAAACCAATTAACCACACTTCACAAGTACACAAGAAAATACTCCTATTTCTATTTTACCTCTCTAGTAATACAGAGAAAATGGTTAAAGAGCTTGCCCTTAAATAGAGAGGGAGTCATCAAGACAGGCTTTAGGACGGGGCGGGCAAAATACAGCACCCAGCCCACAGACTTTGTCTGGCCCTCAGTGGGTCCCTTGGTCCCACCTGGCCGAGGCACCGTCCAGCCCATGGGCATGCAACAGGTTGGGGTGACTCCAAAGCTGGATTGCCTTTCTAGGCAAGAGGAGAAAGGGGATGAGGAAGAGGAACCAGGCACCAGATCCTGCTCCAGGAAGGTACATGAGCCAGGGTTGCCTGTGTTTGGCTTACTGAGTGTTTGTTTGGTGGGTTGTGTGTGTTTTGGGCATGGGCTTTGAACAGTTGGGAGTGCTGTTAACTGAGTGACTGCTGTGTGATTGCTGCATGTGTCAGACAAAAGCCCTAAAAAAGGGGCAAAGCCAGGCCCAGCAACGTATAAAAGGAGACTCCCTAAGTGATCAGGGACTGAGTGAACAAGAACAGCCAATGAGGTAGTTTGCAAGCAGTTTGCAAGTCAGTTCACAGCTCCCCTCTTTGAAAGGGAGCCTTTAAGGGAAATTATTTCTTTAATTAAGAGTAGCTAACCTATATCTATTTAGTGCAAGTAGCTAAAACCAATACTTAGCCCCTTGTTTAACTACAGTCCCAAGTGAGGGGAAGTTCACTATGGAGTTTGCTAGAAACTCTCACTTTCCTTCACTGTAAGGTTGGTGAGTGGAAGCAGGGAAAAGGGAAACTTTCAGGAGCAGCGAACAGGCCAGATTACAGGAGAGTTTGCTAGGGAAGTTCTGCTTAGAAAAAGGGGCAGGAAGGGAGACACAGAGACATGGCTGGAGAACGTTGCAATCCCAGAGGCACTGCTGCTGCCAGCTCTTCCTCTGCTTGCACCACTGAGGTGTCTGTCTAGGCAGGACTGCTCACTGTTGAGGCTTCCACACAGGTCCTGGTTTGGTGCTATGGAGACTGCAGCTTGTGGCTTCCTTCCAATGACAGGCAGATGGGGGATTACCTGCAATGTGAGTGGTGGCTCCTGGTGGTGTCCCTCAGGGAGCAGGCAAGAGAGCTAAGGAGGAGGTGGCAAAGCTCTGAAGCATCCTCCGTCATGAGGACTGCATCAATTCAATGTTGGAGGAGACCTCTAGGACTGCAGAGGAAGGACTGCCAGAGGCAGTGTGAAAGAAGGAAGGGGATATGGACTCCTAGAAAGGTAGAAGCTGGAAGCTTGTGACCTATGGCAGCAAACAGAAATCTTCATCTCCACCTGCAGTAGTTTGCCTGGAGACCAGATATAGAGCCCAGGCAATGGTGGAGGAGGAGCATGCTCCATTGGTGGAAGAGGCCAGGACAGGCCCCCCCAGTTTGGAAGGATCAAGACCATTGCCACAAAGAGGAAGAGATGGGTGGTGGTGGTTGCTGACTATGTTTTTTGGAGGACTGAGGCATCATCTGCTGGCCTGACCTGTTGTCTTGGGCGATCTGCTGCTGGCCTGGAGCCCAGATCTGAGATGTCACAGAAGGATTACTGAGACTTATCCAGCCCTCTGACTGCTACTCCATGCTGCTTATTCCTGTTGGCACCAATGATACTCCTGGGGTGACCCTGAGCAGATCTAAAGTAAATACAGGGCTCTGGGTGCAAAGGTGGTGAGAACAGGTGCTCAGGTGGTGTCTTCCTCGATCCTTCCAGTCAAGGGGAAGGGCCCAGATAGAAACAGATACATCCTGCAGATCAATGCATAGCTGCACAGATGGTATTGCTAGGAGGGCTTTGGCTTCTTCAACCATGGGATGTTGTTCCAAGAAGGATTGTTTGGAAGAGACAGGATCCACCTAATGAACGGAGCTTCCAGCATATTGGAGCAGGCTCCCCGCATGTGTGTAAGTGCCCCCAGGGACAGACGATGCAGAAAATACTGACGTACTTAATGCCTTTTTCACCTCAGGCTTCACAGGCAAGGTCAGCTCCCTGACTACAGCACTTGGCAGCACAGTTTGGGAAGCAGGTGATCAGTCAACAGTGCTGAGAGAAAGGTTAGAGAATATTTAGAAAAACTGGACATGTACAAGTCCATGGGGCCAGATGCAATGCACCTGAGGGTGCTAAGGGAGTTGGCCGATGTTACTGCAGAGCATCCAACCATTATCTCTGAAAATTCATGGCAATTTGAGACAGGTCCCAGATGATTGAAAAAGACAAATATAATGCCCATCTTTAATAAATGGAAGAAGGAGGATCCAGGGAACTACAGATCAGTTAGCCTCACCTCAATCCCTGGAAAAATCATGGGGAGCAGGCCCTTAAGGAATCCATTTCTAAGCACTTGGAGGAGTAGGTGATTAGGAACAGTCAGCATGAATTCACCAAAGGCAAGCCTTGCTTGACCAACCTGATTGCCTTTTATAATGAGATGACTGGCTTTTTGGTTGTGGGAAGAGCAGTGGTTGTGATATACCTTGACTTTAGCAAGGCTTTTGATACGGTCTCCCACCATATTCTTGCAAAAAAGCTAAAGAAGTATGGGTTGGATAGATGGATTGTCAGGTGGATAGAAAACTGGCTGGATTGCTGAGCTCAGAGGGGAGTAATCAATGGCACAGTGTCCAGCTGGCAGCTGGTATCAAGTGGAGTGCCCCAGGGGTTGGTCCTGGGGCCTGTTTTGTTCAACCTTTTCATCAACAACCTGGAAGATGGGATTGAGTCCACCCTCAGCAAAGTTGCAGATGACACCAAGATGTGGGGAGTAGTAGATACATTGAAGGGCAGGGCTAAGATCCAGGAGGAACATGATGAACTGGAGGATTGGATCAAAAGAAACCTCATGAGGTTCAATAAGGACAGGTGCAAAGTCCTACACTTTGGACAGAACAGTCCCATGGAGCGCTACAGGCTGGGGACCGATGGGCTATAAGTTGAATGTGAACCAAAGGTGTGCCCTTATTGCAAAAAAGGCTAATGGCATACTGGGCTGTATTAGTTGGAGTGTTGTCAGCAGATTCAGGGAAGTAATTAGTCCCCTCAATTCAGCACTGGTGAGGCCACATCTGGAGTACTGTGTCCAGTTTTCGGCACTCCACTACAGAAGGGATGTAGACAAATTGGAGACAGTCCAGGAGAGGGCAACAGAAATGGTTTGGGGGCTGGGGCACATGACTTCTGAGGAGAGGCTGAGGGAACTGGGTTTATTTAGTATGGAGAATTGAAAACTGAGAGGGGATTTAAGCTATCTAAAGGGTAGTTTCAAAGAGGATGGAGCTAGACTGTTCTCAGTGGTGACAGATGGCAGAACAAGGAGCAGTGGTCTTAAGTTGCAGCAAGGGAAGTTTAAGTTAGATCTTAGGAAAAACTTTCTCACTAGGAAGGTAGTAAAGCACTGGAACAGATTACCCAGAGAAGTTGTGGCATCTCCATCCTTATAGGTTATTTAAGCCCCAGCTAGACAAAGCCTTGGCTGGGATGATCTATTTGGGGATGGCTCTGCTTTCAGCAGGGGGCAGATTAGATGACCTTCTGAGGTCCTTTCCAGTGATTCTGTGATTCACCTTGGCCAGTCTGATTTCCTTACTCATGGTTAACAGTCCTTTATTCTAAAGGCAATCCCAATGAAATTCATATGACCAGTATTTCATGGTCTGTGAAAGTAAGGTACTATCAGCATGAGTGAGACAACAAAAACAAAATAATTCTGGTTGTGAATATGTAAAAATCCTAAATCTAAACTGTGCCAGTCAGTCAGTAGTAGTCTTCTCTGACTATTTATACATTTCCCTATTATTTAAAATTAGCCGTGAAAATTCACTCAGTCCAATCAATAAATTCATCAACATTATTCAGGCAAAATTCCTACAATCTCCTAACAACAAAGGCTGCTTATAGACATGCTTATAGACATGCTCATTCATGTTCTGCTTAGAATGCTCCAGCATCTCCTCACTGTCATGTGTATTAAGTCCCTTCATGTTTCAAAATGGCTTCAGGGGTGCTTTAGAATGAACTTTAGTTCAAACTCCCCTGTGGCCATTTTGAAATGCAAGGGAGCTTAATACACACAGTGGTGAGCCATTTTAATCAACACAGTTGTCCAGGATCCACTGTATTTTCTACACCCCACCTCCCACCTCTCAGCATGTGTATAGCAGCCAAAATTTGCAGGTATTAGCCCACAGAGGCAGGTTCTGCCACCCTTACTCAAAATGAACAGCTTCTTGCCCATGCATAGTCTCATTGACTTTAGTGAGACTGTTTGCAGAGCCTGCAACTCAGTGAGAGTAATGGTATCAGAACATGGTCCCTAGGTAATATTTACATGAGGAGGACCCAGTTTTGGTCCAAAAAAACTCATCCATGTAGTTTTGAGATCATGGGACACTTATTCAAGTGTCTGTTATATTGTGAAGTGATTTGCACCTACCTCAGCATACATGAAATCATGCTGATTTGTTCCTCCATGCTCACTCTGCAAGGCCATGCAGATATAATATCCAGAGTTCAACAAAATGAAGAGAACTATCCAAACAGTCTTCATGTCTTCCAGCAAGTTTTCCATCTGATGGCAAAAGTTTCTCCTCTGTTTCTCACAGACTTAATGGAGTTGATGTGATCCACCTAAATGACTCACATGTTTTTCAAATATGATATAATCCATTAATTATCCCAGAGGTATTGTGGGGGATGACAGTAAATGGATCAAGTACTTTAGAACTGTTGTTAAAAGCATATTTTCAGGTTAATGAAACTAGATGGTGAAGGACATATTTACAGAG